TGTACTGTGCCCAAAGAAAGTATGGTAAGAAAAACTGGTCTATAGGCAAATTTTGTTTTTATCTATAAACTTTTGTTACTCTGAAATTTCTTCTTTCAATACTGTCTTATCAAATTAATAGTTAATGTTCTAGAACTCATATTATAAGTTATAGCCTTCAAATCAATACTAGTATATTATATATGCCAATACTACATGGTAAGATCATTGCTTCAAAAAAAAACCAGTTTTTCTTACCATACTTTCTTTGGGCACAGTACAACACACCTTATTACACTATAGAGATTATCAAATTGTACTTTTATGTATATATGACAAAGTATAACTCTTTTTGATAATGTAAAATAATCACTGTATTTAAGACAATTTGACAAGATTAAATGCTATTCCTTACACAAAATATTTGCATCTCTTTAAGCTAATGTTATATGACATTACAAGTATGACAAGTTGTATCTATTTTATTTTCTAAAATTGAATATTTTCAACACAGCACTAGTTCTGAGGCTTATAGATAAATCTCAGAGAAGTTTAAATATGAAAATGGCTCCCAGTTTGTGGAATTGGAAACCCATCAAATGTCAGTTTTCTCCTCCTAACAATGAGAGTCCTCAAAGATTGACATCCGTCTGTCTTTATTGTTCTTCATAAGGGAGACAACAGCGTCTTAATGTGAGTTCAAACTTAATCTGGGAGTACCCCAAGTTCATTTCTCACTGTGCTGTGGAGGACACATGTTCTTGTTGCTCATAATCTTGGTAAGGCACTGGTATTCTGATGAACTTTCACTGGAATTTGAATTTTTTTTTCTGACAAAATTTTCTTCTGCATCCTGACTATGAATTTACAAGCTGTGACTTCTAAATTCTATGTGTCCTAGTTTCCTTATGAAATGTTTTGAAGTCTGTGTCCTCAGATTTATTACCTGTGTAGTTTTCTGAAATTATTCTCCTCATGACATCTACTGGAGTCTTCTGTTTGTTTTAGGAAAGGATCAGCAGAGAGCCTGACTCATTATTCCTGATGTCTTTTCGGCACTTTTGACAGCTCCACTGAAGCTGAAGAAGAGTCATATTTATGTTTATCCTTACATGATACTGGTAGTACCCACAATAAAATTCTTTAATACCACCACAAATATCTGCACTGCAAATATCTTACATTCTCTTAGAATTTCTTCATATTCAATATGTCAAGACAAAAGATGGCTACTGCTTTCTAGACTTTAGACAACGCAATCACTACACACTGTGTAAAACGGTGAACTTCAGAAGTTTGCTACTTTTTTCTTATGACCCTCCTGGAAACTTCTGCCCTCATTCCTGTTAGGACTGATGCTGGAAGCAATGGTGCACGTTCTGGTTCTTTTGCTCATATCTTCTATTTAATGCACAGAAGAAAATGTGAAAGGTGCCCCAGAAAGCCCTAGAAAAACACAGATAAACAACTGTGTTTTATATATTGCTTCTGTGTTATTCTATCTTCTATTTCTGGGATTCTAGCAAGCACATGTACTTTCTTTTCTATTCCCAACTCTTATCTAGTTTTACCTTTTTGTATATTTGTGCTTTGTGACATACAGCTTCTTCTGATTTATTTATTCCTATCAAATTATCTCTTTAACCATATCTAATTTTCTGCAGCACCATCAAAGACCTATGAACTGTGTTTCTCACTTTGGAGCTACTCTTTTTCTGCTTTTATAGTTTTTTTTAATTTAGAATTCATGAAAATTATGGTCTTTGCCAAGACCTAGAATTCAATAATTTCTCAGTTTTCACACACGCACACACATACACACATACACACACACATTGTGTGAAACAAGACATGTAATTATTATTATTTGAGACTGGTTTATTTTACTTAGCATGATGACATGGGCCATACAAAATTGAAACTGACCTACATCTTAAGAAAGGATAATTAAATTATAATTCATGCATGGAATGGAATGCTTTCCTTATGAAGCTAAGTAAAATAAAGATATTTATATTAACATAATATTGATAGGATTTTGAAGTCTTCAATCTGAGGACTCCCCTTTCATGGAATAGGAAACCAAGGTACGTGCGCCATACTGGGATATGGTAAGGGTGCTTCCTATGTGGAAAGCAGTTCTCCTCAGATGAAGTATTTTAAGGCTGCTGTTATGCTATTTACACATTTTGGTACTATGTAAACTAATAAAAAGGTTTTATTTGTTTTAAAGCTGAAAAGGAGATGCACTTAGTGAATAGTAGCTATTTTTTCCCCTGGGAAAGAAGATACCAAACACAGGGATGATGACGTAAGCAAACTTTAGTGTATCTTACTACCTGCTAAGGAAATCTTACTTTACTTGTTGCCTCCTCATCAAATGTGTGTATGCGACTCATTAAGCTTCTTTTGTGTTCGTGAACTGGTAACGGAGCAGCTTTCACTGGGCTTGTCCAACCTGGAAACCAAAAATTCACGCATTTCAGGTAAAATATACAGATATGTTTCTTCTGTTAGAAACATTTAGTTAATGTGCATTAAACTGTAACAAGACTTCTGGAAATTGTAGGTTTAGTTTGATGTTTTCCAAATTGCATGAAACGCATGCTAAGATTACTAACTAAAATATTTGGGTCATAATTTTCCACAGTTCTGGACTCAATTTAGTGCTCTGAACTAGTTGGTCATTTTTCCAATTCCTATATTGACTGTGTACATCAAATGAATTCAGAGGCGTGTGTGCTGACCAAACCTTACAAACTTTAAATTGTGTTAGTACGAAGACCTAGAGTCTGAGCATGTTACATGGAATTTGTGGATATCTGCATCTATAGTAAAACCAATGTTCACTTTGAGCTACAGCTATCATAGCCATAGAAGATACAAACCACAACTTATGCATATACAGTACTAGCCAAGCAGAATACTTGATCCAAGACCGTTTCTCAGTCCTAGTACACGTTTTAAGTTTAAAATAAATAATAGCGATTTATTTATCCCAGAGATAGGTTATGTGGGTTTCTAGGTGAAATGCTCTGCTGTAAAACTCGTGGAAACAAACATTCTTGTACCTTTATAAAGCTTATTTGGTATAGTGGAGTCATATCTAACCCTTTTATGGGGACTAAGCCATTGAAGTGTACTGGAGGCAAACCATTCAAACACATGACTGGTAACATTCAGCTTCCTTCTTTGGTCTGCTATGGATCTGTCTTATTCTAAATACCATGCAGTAGATAGTAGTGTTAGAGAAAGCTTCTATGTAACCATTTCTTGCAGTTTAGAGAAGCATAATCTAAGTCATCCACTGTTACCAGTTGTTCTTAGCTTAATTTTCTGTTGCTTAAACTACGACTTCTTTGTGTTTAGCAGACTCCTGTTATTTTCCGTGTTTTTTTTTTTTTATAACAGCTCTGTCTATTGCACAGATTTGTCTAAACATTTGTCTTAGGGTTTCTATAACTGTGAAGAGACACCATACCACAGCAACTCTTATAAGGAAAACATTCAATTAGGGTAACTTGCTTATAGTTTCAGAGTTTATGAGTTTCAGAGTCTATGATCATCATGGCGGGGAGCATGACAGCATGCAGGCAGACATGGTGCTGGCTCCATCTTGATCAGAAGGCAACAGGAAGTGGACTCAGACACTGGACATTATCTTGGGCATGAGAAAACTCAAAGTCTGCCCCCACAGTGACACACTTCCTCCAACAAGGCCATTCCTTCTCCAACCAAGTCTCACCTCCTAATAGTGTCTCTCCCTTTGAACTTATAGAGGCAATTACATTCAAAGTACTACAACATTTATACTTAAAAAAATAACAGTTTTAAAGGTTCATATTAGTTACAAATCTAGATGTACTGTCTTGCATGTGAGCTTTGAATTCATACCTGGTCCTGTCACTTAGACAATGACCACCCTTGGAAGTACTCTGCCTCCAAATTCTCACTGATTTAGACAACTTCAGTAGATGAAACAGCTGGGACCATGAGATTCCTCCCCCTTTTTCTTTATTTAGCTACTTTGGGCCAATTTGCCTAGATCGTAGGTACCATTTTCTCTTATATCCATACTAACCTACCTAACTACTGCATTTTTAAAGAAAAGAGCATAACAATCCACATTTGATCTTCAAAATGATGGGTTCCACAGGGACTTGTGCCACAGTGGAGGATGGGCTCACTTTACCATGTGACTGACTTCACTTGAGCAGAGAAAAACAACCATGGTTTACTGCCATCTTAGCTAGGGAGTTTATCAAGATGGAAGCAACCAAGCATCTGGGCTTCCATCTTTGCTAATGATATCATAAAGGCAAATGTCATGTGACTTCGCCACCATTTTGCTTAAACATTACCACATGACACAAACTAAAATGGTGGCACCCATAAAACTTCATAGTCCCATTGAGTTCCCTGGGACAGCACACCCCTTTATATTAGACTAAGGAGAACATCAAACCTCTAAAATGTTTATTTTATAATTTTAATGTTTTTGTTTGTTTCATTTTCGATAGTTTTGCACAATACAATGATTGGCTTCAAAGGAGAATCTAAATGCTTTCCTGGCCTGCTGCCTCCAATACTGGCATATTAGCACAGGGAGCTAACACTCTTGAGAGTCACAGTCCCTAAAGAGACTCAAAGGACAAATGGTCAAGTGCTAGACCAGCTCCTGCCAGTGAGGAGCCACTGCAATAGTCTCTGCCAGGTCACACTGTCTGCTGCTTTTGTGACACATCTTCAGGCTTGTTTTCCCCTAACTGCAAAAAACACTCCCCCCTTACTGTCCCATTGACATGTATCTGTTTTTGTTTCTTCCTGATCTAACAATATGCTTTAAGGTTTTCCTTTAACAACAAAAGTTATAAAACCATAATCACAACAAAACAGAAACGTTCAACATATTGATTTTAAAGCATGTTTTATTTATGATTATGTCCATATAGACTGTCCACATGTGCTTTGTAACATTCTGTATTTAGTAACAAATTGACTTCTAAGTAAGTGCTCATGGAAATTAAAGTTGTTAACTTGGCTCAACTTAATTTTGTTCATAGGAAAACTAAAATGAATCATAATAATGGTTAATAGTCCCGAATCTTTCTTGGACCAATTAATACAAGTTTCTTAAATTTAAAAATGTCTACATCTGCTTTTAAGAACAAGACACATGGATAAGATATGCATAACCATATACTTCTAATTAAATATTTTTTTGTTTTGTTTTTCGAGACAGGGTCTCTCTGTAGCTTTGGAGCCTATCCTGGAACTAGCTCTTGTAGACCAGGTTGGCCTTAAACTCACAGAGATCGACCTGCCTCTGACTCCCAAGTGCTGGGATTATAGGCGTGTGTTTCCACTCTCTAATCGCCTGACTCTAATCAAATATTATCCCCTTGATCCTGCTTGATTTTTCCAGCCTCTTATGACCCCAGACTCTTTCTTAAATCCTGAATGACAAGATAATGCTCTTCTCAAATTTATCAACTCTGCTAGCACCCTTCTTATTCTGCCCTAACTCACTCCTGCCAAATACTACAGTCCTTTGAGACACAATATAAATCTCTCCCCCACTACACTGGGTCCTCTATATATTGACACCCACCTCCCCTCACTGACTCATCTCTGTGTTTCCCATTGCTAATCCTCCTCCTCCACCCTTCTGGGCAATCTCTCAGCTTCATTCTGTAACCAAGTCACCCTTTTTCAGCTCTCAAACTTTGTAGAGGTTTCTCTAGGAGTGCGTGAAGGTGGTAGAAAGATGCCTCATAGCTGATCAAGTTAAAATTCTCCTCTGCTCTATAATACCAACCCAATCTATTCTCCCTTAGAGCCTGGTGAAAGATCCTAGCTCCTCATCCCCCTTTCTGCAGTAAGTACCCAAAGAGACAAAATTCACCTCCTTCTTTTTATCTGTTCTAAGGGTTGAGAATGAAGGGTTCATGAACTAAAAGCCTCAGGTGCCCGGAAAAACTCTAGACATGACAGTTGACTTGACTGATAAAACCTGTGCAAAATTCTGATAAGGAGGGCCACATACCAAACCCGTTGGTATCTCCACTTCCAGATTGAGTCTTCTATCTCTAATGTACCCCCACTCTTATTTTGTCCTCTAAAGCCTCAAGATCCACACACTGCACGCATACAAGCTCCCATTCTGCAGAGGCTGAGGTGCTTCAGCTGTTCCGACTAAAGTACACTTCTACTTCTGGAGATGCCCACCAACTTCTATTTCCTCATCGCCTACATCAATCTCCATCTAACACTATGTGTGTCCAAATGGAATTCCTGTAACTTCTCATTTAGTTTTTTTTTTTAGATAGAATAGAAAGAAATCATATAACCAATTAATACATAGGCTAAGTTGTCCAACTCAGGACATGAAGGAATCAAGACAATAAAATAGCCATTTCAAAAAGCTGACCAAACAAAACCCCCAACATTGCCCCACTAGAGAGCTATATTTTATATTGTATTAGGCATTTTGTAATGAATTTTTAATTAATTTCCTGAATCTTTCAGAGAAGTCTGTAAGGATGATATCTACAATGTGAACTGCTCCAAAGACACAATATATCTGAGATTTATATCCTAAGTAAATTACAACAGGTGAGAGAATTACTTGATTGTTTAATTTGCTATTGTAAGAGGGCTGTTGAATACTAGGGATTTGTGTGTGTGTGTGTGTGTGTGTACACATACGATGGATGGTCGTAGCAAAAAGCAACAATGGATACTATGCAGACAACCCATCTAATTATATACTAGAAATCTTAAGACACTAACCATATAATATATTTAGCAAAGTTATAGCCTTCAAAGTATTTGCTGTTCTGTAAGTAGAAACTAATGGGCACATCCAAATGAAAAGCAGAGCTTGGTTCTGAGGTGCTGATGAACGAGCAGAAACTTCATGTACATGAGTACTGAAACCACTATGAGGCAACTGTAACAATAATGGAGACCAGAGTTCTGTGAGGTTGCAGAAAAGGGTTATCTAGTCCAACCAGATTGTCAGGAGTTAGGAACATCTTCCTGAAGATGACAACTGATCTAATCTTGAAAATTAAATAGGACTTAAATTTTTGAAAAAGGGGAAGTGGATGAAAAGCAGTTGTTCCAGGCAGGGAAATAGCATGCACTGTAGGAGCCAGGTCTGTGAAAGCAGAGTGCGAGGAAACTACAGAGTGGAGAGTTAGAGCTATTGTACCGAGTCAGGAAGGGAATGGCGGAAGAGCCGGAGAAGAACGTGTCAGCATGGGAGATCCTGGGGCTTAACTTGTAGATGGATTTCTTTGGAGTGTTTTAGAGAGTTTAAAACTTTCAGGAGTCCCCATGAGTTCCTCAGGTGACTAACAGAAGTGACAGTGCTGGGGTGACTCTAATAGCTTCCATAGACAGTCCTGCAATGCTCTGGGGACAGAAGCATCTTCTTTGTCCTCTAATCAGAGTCTTGCTTTATGAATTAAGGCACTGTACAAATCTTGGATCCAGACGTTAGTATTTGGGAGCTATGTGGACAGAGATGTGGGCAAAGGAAAGATTGCGAGAGGTGGTTTGTACAGCCCAGGTGTTCAGTGGTCATCTCCGAATTCCACTCGGACACCCCATTCCCAGCTTATTCTGGGTTCCAATATTGAATATATTTCTTATTCAGATGGAGTTGTTGTGACCATTCTAAGCTGGGTTTTCTTTATCTTTACTGTTATCACCATTGAAAGAAGAAGTTAAAGAACAGCAAAGAGTGAGTCAAGTTTGTGGCATGCAGTTTAAGTGTTCAACATGTTTATGAACCACTGATTAGTACACATAACATTATTGCTTATATTACTTTCATAATAAAAATGACGACTCATTGAAGCTCCATTTCTTTCTGCCATCCAAGGGTCAAGGGGAGTAGGCGGCTTTTTACAAGTCCGGAAAGCTTTATGAAGAGGCAAATCTCCAGACTGCTTTACTTTTGATTTCTCACCCTCCATAACTGACATACATGTGTAGCCAGTCTTATGTATATATTTTTATAGATGTCAAAGGTAAGGTAGTTACCTTAGGAAGATGGAAAGATGGAAAGACACACAGAGGGTTTAAATACTGACATCAGCTGGAGTCCAAAGTGAAGGAAAGCAGGTGACAATAGACAAACTCATTTTAGCTATGGCAAGGAAAACCAAGCCGTCTGCTGCAATGAAAGGGAGAGTCTAGGAGAGAGCTCAGGCATAATTAGACTGGGTTTAGAACCATTGCCTGGTAGAGTATAAAAAGAGCCATCCAGGAACAAAAAAGTGATAATATTAGACAGTACTGGGATCTTCTTCATATAAAATAGTGACTATCAACATGCTATGTACCACTCTCCTTAGTTTATAAGCAAAGAAATACAGGTAGATAGAGAATTCTATGTGGCCCTGGACCGCATAACTTAGGATTGAAGCTCAGAGTGTCCTGATCTTGGAGTCTAAACTCTCAGGTTCTGTTCTGAATTAGGCAGTAGAATGTACAGCTCAGATAAGACCTCAATTTCATTCTAAGTGTTGGTACCATGTTTATCAAAACAATCTTGGTAATTTAGGGCCTTTAATAAGTACTTCTTCACCCTAAAGTCATTTTTAATGATATTTTAAGAATTCAGGGTAAGAACTAGTTTCAAGAACAGACAGGCAGCAGTGGCACACGCCTTTAATTCTAGCACTTGGGATGTAGAGGCAGGTGGATCTCTGAATTAGAAGTCAGTCTGGTCTATAGAATGAGTTCCAGGACTTCCAGAGATACACAGAGAAACCCTGTCCCCCCACCAAAAAAAAAAAAACAAACAAAAACAAAGAACTGATCAACAATGTTCCCTTTGAAATTATATTGGACTGCAGTTTTGTGCTTTCCTGGTATAAATATCATATGCATCTAAAAATGACTTTATCTTTTTAATGATGTATTATTAGTAATAAGCTATTATATGTTGGAATATTAATAAAGAATGAACCCACGCTCCTGTTTTGATTTCTAGTAACAAACATAGTTTTTTTGTTGAAACAAATTTGTTTGCTGATCAGTAACTTATTTTCCCAGATAGAATTTTCAGATAACCAACTCAAAATATGCTGACCTCATTAGTACGCTACATAGGAATTCTGTAACTCAGGCATTCCCTTAAGCTCACCTTGAAGACCATAAGTGGAGTGATATGCAAAAAGTACTACTCTTCCCCATGTTTATGCCTCTTCAGTTCCTCTCTTCCACCTTAAAAGTGGTTGGAAGGCGAGGCTGGAGTCATTCTGACTGCTCTTTTCCATTTCGATTTCTTTTTCTTGCTTGGTACTTAATAACTTCACTATTTCTCTGAGAGGAATGTCAAAACGTATGCATCTTTACTGTGCATGGGGGTCCTTGCCCTCCTTCATATATTGTCTTCCTTCATCATCTAAGGTTTGGGATGAAAGCTGAAGATGAACTGTGGAAGTGTCCTGCAGTTTTGGACACCACAGCAGGCCAAGCACCTCTGCCACAGGTTTGACCTTTTCCTTTTCCCACAGTCAAAGATGCTAATCTTCTATCCCTCCCTCCCTGCCTACCATGCACACTTCCCTACACAGGACGTGGTTGTTGTGGTTTTCCTTTGGAGATATTTCTCACTACAAATGTGTCCAGAGAATCCTAGCACAGATGACAGCAGTACCATTAATTCATCCTTCGGAAGCATAAGGCTATTTATGGAGGGTTTGCTTCTCTTTAGTTCCCGTTCTTACCCAATTTACTTATATCTTCTTTCACATTTCATTTCAGTCCCTGAAACCTCACTCCTTTCCCTCAGCAGATTGTTTATAAGGGAGAGAAATAAAGAGAGAAGCTTGTTATAAAATTATGGAAGTGATACATAAATCCTCTTCTGGTAAAATAAGGCTATCTATAAAACTATATCTGGACTTATGTTTGCTGTTGATCAGTACAAATCGTATTTGGTTTTTAATCAAAATTTTGTTTGTATAAGCAGATTTGTATCATTTTAATAAAACCTTCTTAAAATCTAACTTAAAATAATTTGTCTGGTTTTAATTTATGCTACTATAACTGCCAAAATTCTGAAAAGCTCCAGTTCATGCTCCTTTACCTCACATAAGAGACATCTCAAGGCTATGTTACTTTCCTTACCGCCAAGTTTTGCCCTGATGGCAATGTCTGGCACTTCCTTGGAATTCCATCTTCTGCTCTGTTGCAGTTCTTCTGAAAGTATCGTTTGCCTTTTGATTGTTGTTTGAAATCCTTTGTCTGGCCTCGGAACTCGGTTTTGAGGTTTCACATCACTGAAACTCACCAGGTTTGGTATGGTTCTGCCAACGCCCGGCTTTAAATTAGCATCAGCACCAGGACTCAGGAATCCTGAGCAGGGATCACCTAAGGGCACATCATCACGAAGTGGAAACAGTGGATACTCCTTCCCATAGGGTGGGGGATAAGGGTAGTGGAAATGGTAATCCGGCAGCACTGAAGGGGGATAAGGATGAAATTTTAAAAATACAGGGTTGCCTTTCCTTTCAAATCTGCCATAGTTATGTCTGTCTTCGATTCCTTTCACAAAGGGCATGTTCATTTTCTGTAAGAGATCACAGTAGTGTGGGTAATCTGGATGCTCGATAGTCCTTGATCCTGAGAAGCTGAACCTTTTAGGAATACTTATCTTTCCGGATTTGTTCTTAACCTCCATATCCATGGAATTTCTCATCATTTTTAAAGATTGCAAATTAGATTCTTTTGATAATTATTTTTTTCTTTAGGTATTAAGAGCCCATATTTCCAATAATGGGAGATTAAGATTAATCTAGCATAAAGTCATTAATTCAATTTTCTAAATGTTAGTATTTTTTAAATCTCAAGGTATTTTTTTTTCCTGCTGAGAGATAGGGAAGTACAGAAACAGGGCAGAATAAAAAAAAAAAGAGCCTTTGTTGCTTGGCAACAGGTAGAACCACAACTCATAGAACTACTTATTATGTGACTCATAATGCATTTCTTAAGAATCATCCCCCAAAAGTGCTAGTAATATTTCTATTACATTTTTATCCAATACTCATGAAACTAATATCATATATATTTACATATAGGTACAAATATGTATTTTTCATGTTTATGTTTTGTGGGTAAGATAATCACTTAAAGAATATACTGAAGTTGATCGTGTGAATATACCACATATACAGTCTCTCTCTGTGACATACAAACTAGAACTAAGTATTTAGCTGATATGTGATAAAAATTGGTATGTTTAATTTAAACACACTGCAACAATGAACATGCATTATACTCATTTTCAAGGAAAGTAATTCAGAAACTATAGGCAAAAGTAAAGGTGCATCCTTTTATGATTAAAATTATCCTCAGTTTTCTTAAGGACACCACAATGTCCAGAGGAAAAGCAATGAGGGTTTTTATGTTATTTCAGTAAATGGCAACATAAAAAAAAAATCTGTTTTAAATGATAAGTGTACCAGCCCATTTAAGAGCTGTTTTTAAATAGACAATTTGGTGTGTGAAAACTGCAACTAAATTGAAGTATTAGAATTTGAGGGATAAAAACCCCGCACCTTCCTTAAATGAATCAAGCAAGCAAACAAACAAAACCAAAGCAAGCTTGTACAATATTCAGGAACAGAACGGATAAGTCAGATCAACTGTAAAGAAGTTTGTATAAGCAGTGGCCACGCCCACCTTTGATGATGTTTGAAATTTTGAGCTATACTACTAAACAAGAGGTAAAATTGAAAATAAATGGTTAAGTCTTTCAGCATGAGGTCCTGGACACAGTATATCCAAAACATTAAGTCAGAGAGTTTTTAATTCACCCCATACCGCTCATTTCTTCATATTAAAGTGAAGCCAGACTGTTTTTAGTTGTTCAAAATATTTAAGATTTATTTCTATCACAGCTCGACTATCATTAAATGCGTCCAAAGGCAGAAGGGTGGAGTATGATTCTCTTTCGCCTTAAAATACACTGTCACTATAAGTCGCCTCCTCTTAGCTGGTTTGGTATGTTTTCCCGGATTCAGGTTCTGAAAGATGATCTTCCAAGCTGAATCAATTTTATCTAGGGTCATTTCCTTTGTTTCCTCATCATGTCATCTGTTTTAGGCGAAACCTTTAATCCCTCCTAGGTGTTCACTGCATCTCGCTTCCACGAAGTTCCACATATTGAGAATGTACAAGTTGTTGGCATTACTATAGTCGGTTACTTTATGAGACCTATACGTGCCTTGTCATTAGTTCTCAGGATCTGCAGTCATGAGTAGGCACCCAAAGGCTGAAACTCAGTACACTGCCAGGGTAGTCAGAAGGGTTTTCCTTTCTACCACAGACACCAGAGAAAGGCCAAGGTTAGAACTCTGGGGCACAAGATTCTTCTCCTAGCTTTGGAATCTCTGACAAGCCACTTCGGTTCTGGCGGGTTCCCTCAGGGGTGCGGTGGCCTCAAAGGCCTCCCGTGCGTTCCCAAGACAGCTCCCAAGCTAGCACATCTCCCGCAGACGGTCCGAGCGGAAGCGGCGGCGTGTCCGTCGGTCCGTCCTTCCGGCCCGCCGTCCGCCAACTTCCGGCGGCGGGTGGGCGCGCGCCAGGTAACGACCTTCGGCGCCGAGGCTCGGCCGGCGGCGGCGTGTGGA